TCCTGCTGAGGTTCTAGAGAGGTTCAACTTGACTAAGGTCATGTTAGCAAGTGCACTCATACATTTTGCCCCTTCTGAGTCTAAAGCCAGACTTCAAGTCCATTTTCCTCATCAGTAGATTCCAGAGACAGACGGTGTTAGAAACTCAAAGACTATGGGAGTATTATTAGTGTGACTGAGGAGGGTTGGTTGAATGGAGAAGTTTAAACAGAGTTACTATCCCCAAATAAGACATGACATTCAGATTTTGAGGTCTGACCACATCAGAAGGTTTGGAAGCCAGCACTCCTTTGTGGCACTCACTGTTCTGTGACTACACAGAAACCCTTCCACTGATCCTTTTTTGCTAGCACTACTCTAAGACGAGATAATCAGGATCATTCATGGAAATCTTGCCCCTCTGTGTCAGATACTTGCTTTTCCCATCATCCTTGCACTGAGGAGTATAGTTTTCTAGCCAAGAGACGTAAAAGGCTCTTGACTACCTGCCTCGGTCTTGTTGGTCTTGTATGTATTCTGCAAGGACTTGTAAATGCCACCCTATAAGGAAAAAGGCTCTTTGTAGATGTAACCCAATAAAAGCTCCTGAGTGAAGAGATTACCTCAGATTATCTGGATAATCTCTGTGTCATCACAAGTGTCCTTATAACAGAGTGTTGTGGGGGGGAGATTAGACACATAAAAGAGGGGAAGACCACAGAAAGATGGGCAGAGATGAGAGTGATGTGGCCATAAGCCAAGGAATGCTGATAGCTACCCGAAGCTCGAAGAGGCAAGAAGCAAATTCTCGAGAGCCTTTGGAGGGAGTGCTGCTCTGATGACACCTTGATTTTGGCCTCGTGAAACTGCTATTTAACTTCTGTCCTAGAGTACTGTTGTTTTAAGCCACCAAGTTTGTGATACTTCATCACAGCAGCCCCAGGAAATGACACTGACAAAGCCACTGTGAAGCATTCTGATACTGCATTCAATACATTCTAAATCACATCTCTCTGTAATAGTCAAAAAGGCAAACTTAGGAAGAATCAATACAAGTATTACTTCTACTTCTGACCATAAGTAACCTTTCCATAAATCTAAAGTTATTTCAAAGTAAAAAAAAGCACCACACTTTCTGGAAGTATTGCTTTTATGTTGGAACTTGGAGATGAAGGCAGCTGCTACCTTCGGTGAGTTTTCTGAGATGCTGGGTACTACCACATAGGGAGTCACTTACTAGGCCTGTTGGAAAGCTGGTTTTAGAGGTGGAGGTGGCTTCATGTTGTCAGTGTCCAGGAGTCCTGAACTCAGCCAACCAGGGTCAGCTTCGCTGGTGCAGAGTAACTTCCGTATGCTTAGAGAAGTTAGAGGAATTGACTCCCAGCAGGTATCAGGTTTAACTGAGCTTTTAGAGGCAGGCTATTTCACTTCAAGTGAAGAGGAACAAGGAACTTGGGAAATCCAGCTCTACTCTCTCTCTACAGAATCCCCTTTCAGGTTTTTGAGGGGGAGAAGCATAAAGGCAGAACAGGGGAAAATGGTTTGGCTTACAGCAGCCCCTTCCCCACTTCCTGCTGGTGCCTAAATGTTAAAGCAGCCTGAATCAGGAGGGCAGCTAGGACTACCAGCACAGCGGCTTTGTCCCTTTGCCTTTGTATGTGGCAGCCAGGGGCTGGATTTCTAATCTTTAAGGGCCCTAACTTTAAGGCCTTTCCAGTTCTGACAAGTCATGGCCAGCCTGGACCCCTGAAGAACTGTGAATCACAATGGTTTCTAATGGCTGATGCTGTATTTGTTCAGTGAAGGTGAATCAGCTCCTTCTCAGCTACACTTTTTAAAGAAAGCTTATGTCCTCAGGGACATGAGTGAGCTACTCTTGGGTCACTGGAAGTTGCATACTAAAATATCATCACTAAAGTACTATGGTATAACCCCAAAACTGACAAGAGAAGGCATGGAGTATTACCATGAAACCATTACAATTTGCTTCAGCTCCTCCTGTTTCAAGTTTCTCATTTGTGAAATGAAACTTTAACATCCTTTTGTCCAGGGTGTTTAAATGAGCAAATGTATGGTGCTTAAACACTCTGGGTATAAAAAGTACCCAGGTTGCACAATGATGTGAATGTAAACTGAACAGTAAGTTTTGTTATGTGTATTTTGCCATAATTAACAAAAAGACATTTAGTAGATGATAAAACTATACAAACATCAGCTATTATGATTAATATAAATTATTTTTCTCTTTATGGTTATCATCAACAAATACATTTGTTCCTACAGATGCAAGTGAAGCCCCAGTATTCTGGTGAGGCTCCACTTCATTCCCACAGCTCAAACGGCCTCCGCTACCCAGATGACTCTGGCCTCCCAGACACTGGTGTAGTGTTCTGGTCACTCCTGCATCATAAATGTGCATGCTCTTCTAACCTCATCCAGCTGAGGTTCCTGCCCCTCTCTGAACTCACATTCCTGTGTCCCCCCACTCTGGCTATCTGATTAATGGCACCATCAGTTGCTACCAGGTCAGCCTTATTTGAAACCTGACATATCCCAGTGGTCACAAAATCATGACAATGCCCTTCAGAAATGCCTCTGGAATTAATACCTTCTTTCCCATACTTTACTTGAGATCCCTGTAACCTCTCACCTAGTTTATTATGACAGCTTTCTCCCTGGACATCTGTCCAAACTTGCTCTCTCCTCCATCCCATTCTTCACACCACAACATGAAATCTCTTCTAAAAACCCAAATCTGATGTCATTCACCTATATACAGTACTCAGTGGCTTCCATCTGGATCCAGTCCAGACTCTTATCTGGCCATACAAGATCTATTTCTATGGAGCTATTTACACCAACCTACATTTATGGTCTCATCTTCCCCCACATCCTATTATGAACCCTGCTCCATGTAAGCAGAAGTTCTCATGCTTCACTCCATATGCTAAGCCTTTCACAAGTCTTTGCTTGTTGCAAATAATATTCCCTTTGCCCATTATCTGCACCATCTTTGCTACTTTGTAATCATCTACTCCATGTGTTTCAGCAAGATCTAACTCAAATGCTTACCGTGTTTAACATTCAGGCATCATGCCATTGCACAGAAACAGCATATACTAGGGGAGTCTTATAATTCATGTAGGTACCTTAGCCTCCTCTTCAGTTAGCTCATATCTCTACGACAGCTTGTTATTTTTTTTGTCATCTTTCCATGCCTGGTTCTCAGGATAGTGGTTGGCTCACCACATAGTGAAGACAGTTGAATGAACTAGGAGTGAAAGAAGCTATGATTGAATTGATTGCTTTCCAGTCTTAGGAAAATCATTTCGGCATGGCTGCCAGCTACAGTTTAACAAATACTGTAATGGATGTGAATTAGGTATTCTGGGATGACCACAAGTAGATTTCCTTTTGTACGCTAGATAAGTAATTTGCTAAGTGGTATTTCAATGACTTAAAGACCTTTATATCTTTTCAGGTGGCTGTCTCATACTTTGAGAATAACTCATCGTTTATTATATTTAAAATGTAAATGAATTATGAACAATTCTACATATATGTACACATGAACTCTTCTTCCTTAAAGTCCTGTGATCTTTCTATGGCTTTTAATGATTTAAGCAACATGAAACCCATCTGTGAATAACACTTAAAATGACTATGAATATTCTGGCAACTACTATATATAATTATAAATATGCATTCCTATTTCAGATCCTGTTTCACTATCAAGTGCTAACTGTGGATCATCAAGGTAGTTTCAATGGCTGGCAAGGAGTGAGGGGGTGCCTTTGAGTGCCTCATCCAAGTGGAAGGAACAGGTTATGCTTTACAGGACGCACTGACATCTCCTACCTTTCTAGGCTCTCTGTCAACTGCGGCGTCATGTACGGTGCAACCTCCAGAGCAGCACTTCTGGACAATATGGACCAGTTTTTCTATCCACTGCTGATTGATCCAGGCATAAGTACCTAACTTTAGCTCGGCCAACCCACAGTCCTTTTCTGAGAACCTAACCCTAACACCTAATCCAATCTTAACCAGTCAGAATTCTTTCTTCTGATCTTAGTTACTACAGTGGAAAAAGGAGCTGAAGCTGAAAGGTGGGTGGGTCATAATTTCCACTAAAAGGAGAATCAAATCTCAGAAGCAATCAGGACTACAGTGGACAGGCAAAAAGAAGTAGAAACAGACAGGAGGGCAATAATTCCCTATTCAGTGCTTCTGAAGTCTACATGCATATCATTGCTCTTCTGATGGTTTGGTTATTTCAATACTTACTTGAATTACAAAAGCCTAAATATTTCTGTGTTGGTCTGAGTTTAATTTATGCTATTTGAAACAAAGAGTCTTTAAAAAATCAACCTTGCTAATATACACATAGCCAAAACTGCTCAAACATAACAGCATTTAAATGACCCAATGACTTAATGAAGGCTCTTCAGGAGTTCCACTGTAAGAATGTGGAGGTCACATAACGTTTTAGCAAGCTATGGAAGGTTGATGACTATCTTTATAATGAGTAATTATTTGGTAATTGATTTGTTGGGTTAACCCAGAATTTTTTTCAATGTCTACTCTTAACATGGGCTTACCTCTACAGAATTAGAAGTTCAGGAAAGGAGTGAGGGTATAAGTGTGACCCTACTTAAACAAACGAAGTAAATAATCTACACATGTTGTCATGCTGTCTCTGGGGAATACATTATTTAAAATTATTGCCGCATTCTAAACAGACCATCTGAGAGGGATAATTACTTTTCCATTACTGGATCAATACCTTTGTTCTTATCCTTTACTACTTGAGTGATTTGAGGTAAGGGCAGAGGAGAAACTCAGGTCAATCCCCTGGACCTTCTGTGATCTAGCAGGGAAGATCAATGTGTAAGCTTGTAAGCTCAAGGAGGGGAATAGGGCCAGGGGCACAATTCTTAGTGTGCTAACTTAATTTTTAAATTTCTCAGTGAGAAAAGCCATGCTTATATATGGCTCTTCTGTTGTAGCATTTCAAAAACTGCCCTGAAGGCACAAGGAATAACTCATTTTATATGTGGTTTACTGAGTAAGTTCACAAATTATGACCCTACCACATACACAGCCAATGGTAAGAGCAGCTTGTCCATTTTGCCCTGGAGGGTTAATATTTCAACTGAGAGAGGAAGATGAGGGAGCTAGAGAGTGGAAAGAGATCTTTTGATGGCAGAATAAAGGGTAACATCAGGGGCTGGATGGTGTACAGTGGTAAAACGTGATGCTCTGCAGGGCTGACCATACATGACAGTTCCAGGTTCATGTTCAAACTCCTCCTGGAGTACACTGGGTGTATATGTGCCCATAATCCCAGAATGGCTCAAGCTAGGGTAGATTGCAATGACGAGACCTAGTTGGGCTTGCTCTCTCTCACTTATGGAAAAAATAAACTTTAAAAAAGGTGAAGTCATACTGTAGGCACATGTGTACATTTATGTCCAGCACCCAGCATGTACCATTCTAGAATTTGTGATCACTGCATTCTATCTGACAGCTTGTGGACCTTGATCCATATTCCACTTATTACTGGGAGACAACCTTAAATTCCTTTTAAAGAATATGATTCAGGCCAAGGGTAGTGGTGTGTGCTGGTCGATGTAGGTACATACAAGTTGAGACCACATAGTAGGTGTGGGTTTGATTCCTGGCCTACTCTAACAGCTGGGTATAAAGGTACATGCCTTACTCCAGAGACTAAGGCAGGAAGATGTGACATGATGAGACTCTTTCTAAAGAAAAACAAACAAAAGAAAAAACATGATTCAATGTAAGTTTATTATAGCCTTTTCAATGATAATAAAGGATGCTAAGCATTATAAAAGAATAAAATAGGACCAGCAGGTGATGTGGTGGTCAAGGTGCTGGACTCCCACATGGCCAACCACAGTTCGAATCTTGGATCCTGTGGACTGAAACTCTTGCCAGGAGCATGTGCATGTGTGCGTAAAATCCTGAGAAAAGAATGCAGAAGGGGCTATAGCATGACCATCCTTCCTGGGGGTTAATTTTTCACTTTTTGTCTCTCTGTCTTGCTAGTGAGTACACACACCCTATAGCAAAAATCTCTCAGAAAAAAAAAAAAGAATAAAGCATTTTGCCAGAGTGACTGTGTGACTGTTTAGTCTCAACCTATCAAAATAAATGCCTTTCAAGTACCTTAGAAGCACCATTTGTATGCAAGTAATGTGCTAACTGCAAATGGGACTTATTACTTAATTAAAGCTCATCACAGAGAATCTTTTTTGAGCAATATTTTGTTGGATGTTAGTTTGAGTTACAACTAAAAGTGATAAAATTCTCTTTGAAGATTTCCTTTTTATTCTGGCATATTACTATTCTCCCTGGTCTTTTCACTTTAGTTCTCAGGCTTATTGGAAGGTGGCATGAGGGCCAGTTCAGGTTAGTGGCTAAGAGCAGTGACCTGGGTCTGCACTAGCAGGCATGTCCATAATGCCTCCATGACTCAATTTCCTCCTCTGTGGATGGGGATAGTATTAGCACCTGCCTTGTAGGGTTGTAGTGTAGATTAAACAAGCCAATCCATGTAAAGAATATGCAAGTACAATTTAAATAATAGTTCTTTTTATCTTTCCGTCAGCAGGCTCTGAGGTCAGAAGCCCACCTCTGCCACTGGGGGATGTGAGTTGATCAACCATTTTTAACTGTACTTCCCTTAAGTAAAATGGGGTCTTCATACCTATGCAATGAAGAGCAGGTGTGAGGACTGCGTAGGATAATGTGCAACCTACGTTGGCAAACATTTCTAACTGGGCTTATGAGGAAACCAGGCTCAGCCCAGCTGCACAGATGGACCTGGTTTCTGCCATGCCAAGGACCCACAATTCCTGCCTCCACAGGCAGATAAGAACAATAAAAATCAGCCCAAGTCTGGCATAGACTAGCGCTTAGCTTGGAGAAGAGCTATTGCACAATCTACCCTGGGGGCTGAAGCATTAAGGAGAGGAGGCAGACTGTAGGCCACTGTGGCCAGCCCTTGCCTAAGTGCAAAAGGCAGCCAGTCACCTACTGGTCAGGGATGTCCAGAGACACACGCACCTGCAAGCTGCCGCCCACCATGTCTTTCCCTGGCTTTTTCTCAGGTCTAGAGGAAAGCAGCCCCTGCTTAGGCCACCCCCCACTGCAGCACCTCCGAGCAGGAAGTCAGGGCCCTTGGGCTCCCCATCAGACTGCCTGCCTGAAGCATACACTGGAGCTGGGGAACTTGCCGGAGAAGCCAGTAAAATTTTAATGCACTCTGTAGTGCGGTCATGTCATACTCGGTTATGGCAAATAATCCCAGATGCCTGCAGAGGTAAAATGGAGCTGTAATGTGCTTGCCTCCTAACCCGAGCTGACAGCAATGATGTACGACTACCATTAGCGGAAAATATCACTTCAACTAACCCATGATCCAGCTCCGCTCAGGGTCACATTATCCATGAGGAACAAATTACACTCCCAAAGTAAATACAAATTTTCTACACGAAATGGGTACAAAAAAAGGGAAGGGGTGATCCGTTCCCTACGCCAGCACACTGCTGAGTGACACAGATGATAAAGGACAGGACAAATCATTGGCTGACAGAGTGCCGTGCCGTAATCAGCTCAGCCGGCACGCACTCTAGCCGATAAACACTATATTCTCCCCTTAGTGGCAAATACATAATCTTTAACACAGACATGGCTGCTTTAGATATTTACTACCATTTGGGCTATAGGAAAAACCCCATGCCACATTTGCTGTCAGAAAGAAAAGGCCTGGTGGTCTTGAGGGACCCAGAGATCCTCTGCAAGAGTAAGAGTCAGGGTCTGGGGAGGTACACAATCGTTCCTGAGGAACAAAGGACAACTGAGAGCAAAACCACCCTGGAGGAGGGAATTCAGGAGTCACAGTGGCACCAGGTTCCCTTCTATGTGCAAGTCAAAGGAGGAACGCAAGCTGGAAAGATCACATGGGATGCAAGAGGCTCTGCACTGGCAATTCAGAAATTCCTCTGTGCCCTGCACCGCTCTT